TTAGAGGCTTAGTCAGGCTGTTGTGTGTCATCTACATGGATGGGGCCCTCGAAATGGTACACCTCAGCGGTTGGAGACTCACTTGGACAGGGCACAGTTAGTGATGTTCAGGCATTCGGCCTCTTGCATTTAGCTACTATGGAATAATGGAACAATGGTTTTATACAGGTAAGAAAGCTAATGTTTAACAGGTCCCGTAGGATGGTTATGGTGAAACTGTAGACTCGAAAGAAATGGTTAGCAACATGGAGTTTACACCAGTGAGCTCACTGAAGTATACGTAGTATAGGCTGTAAATTAAAGACAAATCCATAAGAAGTGACGGAAAATGAGATGTTGTTAAAAATCATGTCTTCTGGTGTACGCATAGAGGTGCAAAACACGGAACGAAATCTGTGATTTGACCGTCGGTGAAATCGATTACTGAGACACTTGTGTTTATCCGTTTCATTCCATCTCGATTTGTTTAACACACTGCTGTCTTGATTCCATTTCCGCTGTATTCCATTGCATTCAACTTCAGTAATTTTTTCTGTTGTTATTCATTGTTGTTCGGTTGTACAACTGGGCTGAACAGAAGATCGGGTTAAAGTTCAGTGTATCTACGTATTGGCTTGTTCTATGTTTGCGCCAATAGACCTGGTCCATCTAACGTGCGATACGAATGTATTCGAATATTTAACGTGTTCCACATCGTCCGGAAAAATTCCGGTGAACAGCCGTTGATGTGCAGCCCGTTTGATGATACCAGCTAAGGTGGATTCACGAAGTAATACAAAATGCTGTTTGTTTGTGATTTCCGTTTATGCTCCCACCGACTGCAGTTCTAATGCTGTCAAGGACACATTCTATCACGAACTGAACGCCCTACTACGCAGTGCTACTAGTTCAGATATTATAGTACTTGCAGGGGATATGAACATACAAGTAGGGCGTCTAAGCTCTTAAGAAGCTCAGCTAGGTGGTAATTATGGGCTTAACTCTGAACGGACTGAAAACGGCGAGCGTCTGCTGCAACTGTGTGCGGATCACCAGTTGTTTCTTAGCAACACTGCTTTTAGACACAGTAGGCACCGAAGTGTCACTTGGCGTCCACCTGTAGCTGGTCAGCGATGGACCCAAATTGACCACGTAGCCACAAGTTACAGATGTCGTGGTTCCATCCTGTGTCGACTTTGATCATACCTTGGTACACTGTCGTTTCTCTATGAGCCTTACCGGGAGGCGCACAAAGCGCCTCCTCCGATTAGCAACTGAGAAATTGTCTCAGCCCTCTGTCAGGCAAGCCTATCAAGACGCACTGCATAGCGAACTTTCCCTGTCTTGTCTTAATGACACTGAGATTCAGTGGAATAGGATCTCGGCCGCTATGCACGACGCAGGAGCATCTATTTGTGGCACTATCCATCATCACCTAACTAGTCACTGGATATCCGAGAGGTCGATAAACCTGATGGAATCTAGAAGCCACCTCCCGGTTGGCTCTGAACACAATGTGACCAGACGGGCTATTAGGTGTGAACTAAAGCGGAGCCTACGTGCTGACAAGGAAGCCTGGTGGACCAATCGGGCGCAAGGAATGGAGGGGGCAGGAGCAGTAGGCAATTAGCGCAAGCTCTTCCAGCTAATCCACACCACTGGTCTCAGACGATCAGGCGTCAGTGAAACAATCAGAGACAGCGCGGGTGTACTAACACACAATAAGGAGCGCCGTATGGCTCGTTGGGCGGAACACTTTCAAGATCAGTTCAACTGGCCGCCTGTTCCCGAACCTCTTCCTTCTCAGGTAATGCAGGAGGATCCATGGACGGTTGGTTTAGAGCCTCCGTCGAAGGCCGAGGTGCGAAACGCGATCGCAGCCCTCAATCATTTTCGTGCCGCTGGCCCGTATGTCCTCCCACCTGCACGATTTAAGGATGGGAGTGAAGTCCACTGCAGGGCACTGACCTCCCTATTCGAACGTATCTGGAAGGACGAGAATGTCCCGGCTAATTGGAGTGAATCGATTATACTGGCAAAATACAAGGAGGGCAGTCGCATAGACTGTTCTAACCACAGGGGTATTAGCCTAACACCAGTTGTTACAAAATTACTGGCCTCGATTCTCGTTCGTCGCCTCACTGCGGAACGGGAATCTCGGATTAGGGAAGAGCAGGCCTGTTTCCGTCCAGGACGTGGCTGTATAGACCATATATTCACTTTGCGGCAGGTGCTAGAGCAGCGCCACGCATACCGCAGACCGACAATAGATGTGTTCCTCGATTGCAAGAGTGCATTTGATTCAGTCGATCAATCGATTCTGTTCGAATTACTTGCGCGGAAAGGTGTTCCTACGAAATACGTGAACATTCTTCGTGAGTTTTACTCAAACACTATAAGCCTTGTCAGAGTCTATGGTGTCCTATCGGACAGCTCTCTGACAACAAGTGGCGTTCGTCACGGTTGTCCGATTTCCCTATTTTTGTATAATTTCGTCGTGAATTCTACCATGCAGTGTTCCGTTGCGGAATCTCACGATGTAGGCGTTGAAGTGCTGCCTGGTGAAAGGTTAATTGATCTAGATTATGCGGACGATATCGCCTTGCTTTTCGACGATTTTGCGGCGGCACAATCAACCCTGAATAGCCTGCCCAGAGTGGTCTCATTATTTGGTATGCACTTCGCACCTTCAAAGTGCAAAGTGTTGCTGCAAGACCACCAGCCACTTGATGACCCCTTGACGCCTGCTTTCGAGGAACTCGAGGTGGTTGATCATTTCATTTATATTGGCAGTTGCATCAGCAACGATGGGCGCATAGAAACTGACGTCAGCTCACGCAGTGCAAAGGTAAAAGCTGTCTTCTTGAACCTGCGGCATCTTTGGGGACGGAAGGGAATTTCCCTCCGTCTGAAAGGTAGTGTATACAAGGCCACATTGAGGGCCGTTCTGCTCTATGGTAGTGAGACTTGGCCACTTGAAACTGAAGATCTGAGGCGCCATCAAGTCTTTGATCATCGTTGTGTGCGAAGCATTGCTTTTGTCGGATGGCACCAGCGTGTCCGCAACGATGATATGCGTAGGCGAGTACTAGGTAGTGATAATCATGCTAGCTCCCTAGAACAACAGATAGCATTTAATAAGTTGCGTTGGCTCGGGCACGTGCTACGTATGCCTGGTCACCGCTTACCTAGGAGGGCCTTGTTCGGGCCCCCAGATGTAGGATGGCGCAAAGCTGGAGCTGGACAGAAATTGACTTGGCAGCGGGAAATGCAGTCACTGACAACCAAACTGGGTGTCGTTGGTCCGTCTCTCCTTCCGGGCTGGAGTCCACCTGACTCGCCTTGCGCTTGGCTCCGGACTTTACAGGATATGGCTCGCAACCGACACCAGTGGCGCGTCTGCTTCCGTCTCCTAATCGGATTGCCTGTTAAAAGTGTGTTTGGTGCTGAATTATCTGCGGAATGATGGCTGATTATGACGCGTGGCAGTGAAAGCTGCAGGGAAGCTGTCTCGCCGATGCCGCTTTATCTTTGCACGATAGTCAGCTGTTTGTGACGGCATGTTATCTACGCAAGGTGTAGGCGCCTTGGTCCTGAATGTTTGCTTAGGACATTAAGGTTTTCAGGTAAGTCCCCCTTCTCTCCCTCATATTATTCTTTATTTCATAGGTCATCATGGTTGTATGGTAGCGAGGTATCAGTTCAAATGGCTGATATACTGCTGTTGATGATGATGACGACATCGTCTAGAAAAGACATTCAAAGTGACCCACACAACATCGTGGCGGTTGGGTTGCGGTACCCTTAAACGAATGCCGGCACTGATTTTCCACAATCTGGGAGCCTCAGCTGAACTCCATGTTCTTAGGACGATTTGACTGCTTAAGTGTCCACTTCCGCGACTAAGCTAGTCACATACAGTTCCGGATGATAACCACCTAGCCGTTAAACGCGGATGAAGTGAAGTAGGAAAAGGTTTTTGGTACTTTGGAATCCAGAGTCAATTTACTTTTGCTTTCATTGCGAAACACTATTTGATCAGTTTAAGCACATAGTCGGTCCATGAACTGCAAAGTCACCGTTTTCTATTAGGGAGCAGGTCAATGGAAAATGCAGAGGCGACAGGCCATCAGGATATGGGTGCTAGAAACTATGAGCAATCGGACTAAGCGCTTCGACACGTCTCTAATGGTTAGCGGTGGGATGCAGTGGAAAGAAGAAACATGTGTGAAGACTTCTAAGTGTGCACAGTATTGAAGAGCCCTTAACATAACTGCTGTATGGAGGAGTGTTAATTCCTAGTTGTGGACCATATACCGACGTTCGGTCTCCGTCTTCTCAATGGATGGACAATGATAAACTCGTCCGTCTGTGTTGAAGCGTTCATGAAAGTCCAAAGAACAAGGTGACGAGCTCCCATCCAGTCTACAGTACTGCCTATATTTCGTTCTCCTTCAAAGTCGGTAAGCTTGAACCGCGCAGCTCGGCGAGCAACATAGCGGCTGATCCCCAAGTGAATTCGAACGAAAGGCTGCACAAGGCAAGCTAGTGAAGGAAGCGGCACACAGCAATGGTGCAAAGAAGTAGTCAGAGCGTCACTGGCTCAAAAAGTTGCTTCGTTTTTACTTCATTATGGGAGAAGCTACGGATCACCAAGAAGAATAACGTGTACATCACGTGGATCAGAACCGGGGGAACTGCGTCCAAGAAGAGACCAGGAATAGAAAGTGTCTGTGTTCGAGAGGAGCAAAGTACAGAAACGCTGCACTTGAGATAATTTCTGACACACCACTTCTTACATGAAAATCTCTGTTGTTAATCAGTTACCTGAGAGTTTTTAACCACTTGATTTGTCTCAGCATAAATCACTGCAAGTATGCACAAGCCTAAGAACCCATTCTGGTTTTCAAATGAACGCCTATGCTTTAATGTGTCTGTAAGAAAACACTAAAACTGATAAATGTGTACAGTCAATTGCACTATGGCACATGAGTTATCGAAAAATTTCCACAGAGCATTACCGTCTGCCTGTTCCCGCCTTGACTGAGTCACGGTTGAAATTTGTCTGATGTAGGCTGAAGTCCTCTGCGAATCGGCTCAGAAGGTTCGGAAACACGGCTTGTCGTTCCGCCCGCTCTTCGTCCTCGAACACGTTTCCGTACATAAACCCGTTCATCATAGTAGAATGGGCGTGAATGTCAACGAAGAAATTGACATCCATGGTCTGCATGGGGGCGGTAAAGTATGTGGACTTACAATGGTAGTTCTGATCGATATTAGGAAGGCAATATGAACCAGAGCCTACTTCTTCTCATCTTTCGGTTTGTCGATCATGTTATTGTCCATTTCTATCCAAATAGGTCTGGTTAAACTGTTTTCAACTGCCCTAGAAGTCTATTCATCTGAGTTGGACACAAAGTAAAGAGTAGAATCATTTCGAGGTCTAGGTTAGCAGCATAAGGTCTGATCAGGCTATTGGGGAGATCGTGATGCAGTTTATCACAAGCAACAAACCACAGCTAACGTTTGTGGGGGGGGGACACAGGTGGCTGCTGGTCAAAATTATATAACTGCGCAACAGCAGATCGATGTTGTTCGTTGGGTTTGTCCCCATCCCGTTAATTGGTATTACGTTCAATAAATTCTCGCAATCAAGAAGAGGACCAGTTGAGCAGAGTGCGCAGGTCTTGAATGGAGTAGCCTGCCATCCCTATATATTACTGTAGTACTACTACTATATTACTATATTACTGCGGATGTCGTACCCACAAGGCTCATTTAAATTGAAACCTACTAACTAGTTATTATAAAGGAATAGTAGGGGAATTTGAATGACATCAGTAGAATTTTATCACATGTAGACAGTCAAACAGCCAGCAAAAGCCAGGAAAGGCATTGTAATTCCGAAAATTACACACGACTTATACCGCCTCGGCCTTACAGGTAGCCAGCGGGCAAATAGCAATTACCATTCAAATGTGCTCAAGCCGTAGTTTCCTTGCCCAGGAAAATCATTTAAACGTACTTCTAGTAACAGTCATGATGGTTGGGACCGTTCCGCGTAGCTCAGCGATCTCAGACTGGCAACAACTGAGCTGCGGGTTCAAACCCACAAGGGAGGCGCACTGCTGACGATTCCCGCTAGGATGAGACAGCTGTACAATGCTTTCGCAGGCTTTTGATGGCTGTCTGATTGAGTCTAAGTGTGATTAATCTCTACTTATAACCAAATATAATTATTGAAGCGAATCATCCTACTGTGTAAATCCTGTGCGTGCCTTCCGTGTTATCGATGGCTTAATGAACTTCCCACTTTACGAGATGCTGAGGCCGTGGTCGTCAAACAATTTGGCCCAACTATGTAGGTGTAGAAAGACGTATTTGTGACGCTGGCTCTGCCCTGGTAACGAGTCGGAAACAGCTGACAAGGTGACATGTACGCATGCGGATTCAGTTTAGTCAATTTGCCATTTAACTACACTCAGTTCATGCTGATGTGAATTCGCACGTCTGTAGTACATACAAGAAAATGTGCAGAGAAAATTTTCCGGAATTATATCGTGCGGCACTCTTGTGTTAACGTTGCCACCGGGAAATGAAAATGCAAGACCGAATGCAGACTACTCAAGTTCTTATTTTCATGAAAACGAAAACCGTTGTTCAGATTTTGTTCTGTTCGAGCTGAGCAGTTTCGTTGCAAACGTTTCATCACAAATCGTGGTGGGTTCTCCAGTGTGTAGTAAGCAAACTGAGTGGTGTATCGACTCTTACCGATAAGCGAAGCGACAAACCATTCAGTTTGCTTACTACGCGCTGAAGAAGTCACCTGGATTGGTGGTGAACCGTTTGCAAGGAAACTTTTCGGCGTGCAGAACAGAACAAAACCTGAACAGACCACCCGAGCTACAAGTATTCCGAACTATAGTTACTATGTCACGCATTCAGTTCACACACTTTCATACTGGTCTCATTGGAGTAACGAGACATGAGGTGTCCACTTGGAGTCAACTAAAACACATGTGATTTGCAGAGATATTTCAATGAGAAATAGCCTACTTGTTAGTAATGTAATGTTTAAGAGCGTTGTAGTAGTTGGTGCGGTCCCAGGATGGAGTTAACCAGTTCCGTATCGGGCGATTGATGACATGGAAATCACTGAACCAAAGCGAACCGAAGTCAAGGCTGGAGAGCGAAGAGATCGGAAATCAATTGTGTCCTAACCGCAATGCCCGACAACCTTATTCAGTCGGTTGATAATATGGTGAAATGCATTCTATGTCAAGACACCACACCAATGTTCAAGAACAGACATAGTACGTTAAAATTGCTATTATTTAACAGCCGTGAAGGGCGCGTTAGGTTGAAACATAACTCATAAAAAACCGAGTTATGTATAGCAAAGTCTGATCAAACTCCGCAACCGATTGGTCTCTAAGGTGCTGAAAATGCGGAAATATTTCCATTATTCCCATCCGAGTGGTTTGCAGGTTTCAGGTACGATTGGTGAATACTGAATGAGCAGCTAAATTTGCAACCGCATAGGGCTCAGTCACATGTCTATGGCGTCAAGCTAGTTTGGAAAAGCATACTCACCGTGCTACGGTCCAGTTTCATTAACAACAGTTTCGTGGCATGAATTTCGGGATGCGCCCATTGGGAGGGATTTCGCCATTGGCGGTTCAGATCGAAACCAAGTAGAGAGCATCTGAGGTGGAATAGAAAGTCGACTAAATCGTCCGACAAATGAAATGTTATGATGACCTTAACGAGACGAAGAGATCAACAGGAAGTATACCCCATGATTATCTGCGAAAATAACGGATGGTAACGTCGTTTGCCAAGAACTGTAATTCAACGGAAGCAAGATTCTGCACAGTATGACAACAGCGCCCAAATTTACTATGTAGGGATGAACACCAAGCGATCCCGCCTGTTGGTGTACAGTTGAGCGCGACGCTTGTTGCAAAAGAAACGATGGAAGAACTTTAGTTTCGCAAGACATTTTTTCAGCATTGACAACTCTAGGACACATATTTATTTTCATCTCGGAGAGTGTACGTGCGCTGGCCATGTGGATAACATTCCTAGCCCGTATGCCGAGCATTGTGACTGATTAAAACAACAGAGAGTAGAGCATTCATTGCTGACAGAGGAGCTTAGTTGTACGTGCAATGTAAAAGCTTATGTTCAAATATCTTCGGGTTGGTGTGTCTTTGTCTAGTGCCACCCGCGTAAGCATCGTGTAGGTGGTCATAGGAGAACAGACAGAAGGGTCTTAGGAGACCAGATGTTTCGAAACCCGAACTGAGGGGACGCAAACTAAAGAAATAGAGGTGAGACGTGGCTATTCGAAATCGACTTCTTCACTGTTGGAGTGCTTATGAATACTGCGCATTTTGCCTTTCCTATCATCAATTTTATCATGACATGTTTTGTACAGTTTGTTTGAATTAATCAACTGTAATAGACTTCTTGGTTGCCCGCGCTCCGTCGTGCTGATTTTTGGTTGTGCTGCTGCTGCTACGTGCGCCCGGTGCCGTTCAGTCTGCTTGCGAATCAGATATTAGATGCGGAGTTACTATCGAACGTCTATTTCCATCGTGCTCGTCGTGTGCCACAGGTATAGTGCAATCTACGATTCGAACTCAACTGTGAGTTGACCCGTTCCGAAAGATGTTGCCTTCTCTAAGGGACTGAAACCTTCCTAGTATCCTTCCGACCACTACATAAATTGGCGACCTCGCCTTATGTTTTGTGAAAACGTATTTTTCCTAGTCATGTCTGATCAGACCTCACTTGCTTCTATTGATAATTCCGTCGAACTATCGCTTCCTAATTGTGACATTTCTAATCCATGTGTATAGGTTATTTAGGTAGAAGCTACTTTCCGATGTCGTAAGATCACTTCACAGTCTTCCATGTTTTCATGCGTCGTCACGCGCTAATCTGTCTCCATTGCCACTAAAGTCATTGATATCCTTGATCCTATGCCTGCAGAGGCGCCGTATGGTAAACTTAAAGCAGCTATCCTTAAACGCACCACTGCGTCTGATGAGACTTCTCTGCAACAGTTACTTTCCGGCGTCGAGCTTGGCGATCGCACCGTATCTCAGAGTTTTAGACACATGTGTTCCTCAGTTAGTTCATCGAAATTCGACGACTTCATACTCCGCCAATATTGGACGAAATGCCTTCCAGTAAACATCACGGCGATTTTAGCAGGTCTTAGCGACGATATCACGCTGGAAAAGCTCGCAGAAGCTGCGGACAAAACGCACGAATTTTAATTTAAATACACTCTTAATTACGTAGCTGAGTCCAACACAGCTAGCTCATCCCATAGCATCACGCTGGATTTGATCAACGATGGAATCTCTCGTTTAGAACTCAGCATGTTTGCTATTCGACGTGAAAGCACTACTAAACGAATAAGTCCTCGCAGCAGCACATCACGCTCACGTCAGCGGTCGTACTGCTACTTCCACCATCGCCTAGGTAAAGCAGCACGTAACTGTCGCACGGAATGCAATTATCCGGAAGGAACTCCAATTTCGCAACCGAAAACGCCAAAGCCAGCCAGTAATGGCGATGGCTGTCTCTCGCCAAGTCCTCAGTCGCCTTCTGTAGGTGTTCGACTCCAAGACAAAATTCATTTTTTGGTCGATACGGGAGCAGAAATCAGTGTTATACTAAGATCTTTGGCAAAAGGTGCGCTACAACAAGCTGGACTTACGTTACAGGCGGCTAACCAGACTAAGACTGCGACATACGGCCAGAAGCTGTTGTACCTAAGCCTTGGTTTACGATGTAAATTGCCTCTTATCTTTACCAACGCAGATATCCAAAAATTCATAATTAACATCGATCTCCTTAGCAAATTTGGTCTCGTGGTCGATCTATGTTGCAGAAAGTTACGGGATAACAGTACTTCGCTTACTGTCCCTTGACACCTTACCCCAGTCACTTCCCTCGGACTTCGTGTACTCATGCCAAACAGTAGGTAGTATGCACATTGCTTCAGTAATGTCTCTAATAGAGACGTAAGCGGAGCTAAAGGTGGGTATCGACTGACAATTGATCGGCCAGCAATTACCAGTCCGCGTAAAACGAATCGAACTATACCGTCAATATGATAAACCCGTGGAGTGGAACTCACTCACACTGACTGAAAACCGGACGCACAAAAATGAGCGATTCTGACCTCCTAAATTAGCATGTTTCGGCTACCTATAAATACAATTAGCTTATGGTGTAGATAGACTCCCTGTTTACCGATCCTTGGTCTTCTGTATTCCGCCGGTTGGGTTGGCGTGTGACTGAGAAGTCAGACAGTCGCAGTCTCATAAAGCAGCCAGCAACAGTACAACAGTCGTCAGTGGCGGAGAGCAGAGGTAAAGTAGAAGCGTTACAACAGTGGCGACAGGAGTCAGAAGAACCCAAAGATGTCAGTCAGTTTTGAGCAATTGCAGTCTCTGTTGCAGCAACAGCAGGCGCAGTTTGAGAAAGCACAGGCCAAGTTGATCGAAACGCTGACCAAGAATTTGTCACTACAGGCAGGCTCAGTAACAGGAACAAGTGAACGTTGCCCCTCAGCAGAAACCTTGACCCAGCAAGTTTGTGAATTCCGTTACGATGCTGATGCCGGTATTACCTTTGAATCGTGGTTCCATAAATACGAAGACCCGTTTCGCGTTGATTTAGCCGGTGGTTCAGAGGACAAGAGAGTACGCCTCATGCTGCGGAAATTGGGTGCGGCCGAGCACGAAAAGTTTATGAATTTCATCTTGCCGAAAAAGAGCACTTCGATGAAGCGGTTGCTACTTTGTCCCAGATATTTGGAGAGCAGTCGTCAGTATTCATTATCCGATACAAGTGGCTGACAATGACCAAGCGAGACGACGAAGACTGGGTTACTTACTCGAGTCGCTTAAATCGTGAGTGTGAACGGTCGCTGTTTCACAAGATGACAGCTGATCAGTACAAGTGCCTTATTTATGTATGTGGTCTTCAAGCAACCAAAGATGCGGATGCCCGAACAAGAGTACTGAGCAGAATTGCACAAAATCTCGAGATCACACTGCAGGAAGTGACGAACGAATGTCAACGGTTGATGAACTTGAAGCATAATGCTGCAATGATTCAACAGTCCTCTATCCAGGGTAGTAAGGACATCATTTGCAGGGTCAGCAGAAGTCCTCAGAAAGAATCGGTTCATGTGAGTTCACCACATTCTAAACCTTCTTCTGCTTGTTGGTTTTGCAGGGAATGGCACTTTGGTCGAAACTGCCCGTTCCGAAATCACATTTGCAATCATTGTGGTAAGCGAGGACACAAAGAGTCGTGTTGTCTTGCGAAGCGACCAACAATGTGAGGAATACGGCGTCGAATCCCGGTGCGCTTCCAATGTCACAACGAGGCCAAAACTGTGACGGCGACTTTCAAGGTTGACGGTGTCGGCAGGCGTAAATTTACAATTTTTAAGATCAACGGTAAGGAAGTTAAGCTGCAGTTGCATACTGCGTCAGACATCCCTTTGATTTGTCGAGACACATGGTGTATGCTGGGACGACCACCGCTTGTCCACACAGACCACACAGCACGAAACGCATTCGGCGGTATTTTAAAACTTCTGGGAGAGTTGCATTGTCAGGTCAATTTCCATGATCAGCACATTCGTACAACCTGTTTTATGACAGATCAACCAGGATTGAATTTGCTTGGTCTCGATTGGATGGAGGAATTGAAATTACTTGATCAGTCAGTTAACAAACAGTATATGCCAGAAATTACAAGTTGAGAAACCCGCAGAGACGCAGGATATGAACCTCGAACTTTACATTCAAATTGCAGAATTGAAACGACGCCAAGAAAGTTTGTTCCAACCCGGTCTTGGATGTTGCCGGATAGCGAGAGCTGAGCTGAACCTCAAACCAGACCAGTCTTTAGACCAAAACGTCTAGTGCGATACGCAACACAACCAATAGTGGAGTCTGAGTTACATCGGTTGCAGTCGAAAGGCATAGTCGAGAGCGTACATTAATCCGAATGGGCCGCACCCATCGTTGTGATAAAGAAAGGAAACGGCAAGGTACGTATTTGTGCTGACTTTTCAACCGGCTTAAATTCCATGTTGGAGAACCACCAGTACCCTTTGCCTATACCTGAAGATTTGTTCACCAAGCTTAACGGTGGAAAATGGTATGCGAAACTCGATCTAGCTGATGCGCACTTACAAGTTCCAGTAGCCGAGAACTGCAGAACTGTATTGACGGTCAATACGCATCTGGGTCTTTTCCAGTACAATCGGTTGCCATTCGGAGTGAAAACCGCTCCCGCCATTTTTCAAAAAATCATGGATACGCTGCTGAACGATATCCCTGGGGTCACAGTATACCTGAATGACCAATGATTATAGGGTCTGACCCACAAGCATTGCTGGCCACGTTAGAGAAAGTGCTCACTCGTCTAGAAGAAGCTGGTTTCCGGTTACGAGCGGAAAAATGCAGTTCCCTTGTGGAAAGTGTCAAATTTCTCGGGTTCATCATTGACAAACATGGTAGACGTCCGGATCCCGCTAACATAGAAGCCGTCAAGCAAATGCCACCACCAAGGGATGTTGCCGAACTTCATTCATTTCTCGGTCTTATAAGTCATTATAGCGCCTTCCTGCCAAGTCTACATCAGACTAAAGGTCCTCTGAACGAG